GACGACTTTGGTGGCCGTCAGGTACGTGTGCGTGGCCACGCCAAGGTTTTGTGCCACCTGATGTTCGGCATTCTTGCGCTGACGGTGGCGCAGTTGGTCCGGCTACTGGCCTGAAACCGACTTGGTTCCATCCATCTGTTACAGAGGCTGCACGCTCCCGCCGGGGATGCAAGGCAGAGGTCTGGCCATTCACAGGCCAAGGGGCTTCATCGTCGCAGGATGGTCACCGAGGTGAAGCGCCACAGGCGGCCCAACAGCGTATCAGAGCCAAAAACTGCCAACTATCAAAGGCCATGAGCTTCGCTCTCGACGTCGAATTGGAGTTTTGCAAGTGGCTCTAATAACTGGAGTTTTGCATTTTGCCTTCTACCCGGTCACGCCTGAGCCAAGACAGCCTTAATCTGTGACATGGACCAGTCGTCATCGCTTAGTTTGTCCACAATCCAGTCCACCAAGCGTTCGAGAAGTTCTCCCTTCACCGCCCGACAGGCTTCGCCAATCGTCGTCAGCGTTCGACGAGTCCATTCATGCGGACCGCTCGCGTGCATGGCGTGCATCAGAAGACTGTACGCGGCGCTGACAAGATACACGTGGCGGGTCTGGCCCTTGCCGCTGCGCACCTGACAATCTCCTAGCCCCAATTGCTGCTTGCCGTCCCGATGAAAGGTCTCGGTGCCCGTCCAACGATGGCGGTACACCCTCAACATGCGAAGTACCTCCCAAACCACCCGGTTGCTCACCAAGGCCTTGCTCGCCTCAGTCGCAAAACGGTCCTTCCAAAACAACACGATGCGAACCGGGTGACTCAGCGTCGCAAGGCGCATCCGTTTGCTGAAATACCAGTCGCAACGCTTGCCCACACGCACCGCTTTCTTGTCTGCAAAGGGTATCTGGCCAGCCACTTCTTGCAGCTTCTGTTCTCGGCCCTCAAAGACCACTTTGCGGTTGAGTTTCAAGGCGCCCACATAATGGCGCTGCTTGGCATGAAGATGGTTCAGTATCTTGGCGTGGGTGAAATAGCTGTCAAAGGTGACATCGCCGGGAATGTCCCGTGAAAGGGCATCGTCAATCAAGTCGAGACACAGCGTCGTGTGATCCTTGAACGCCTCGGACGGGCAGCTGTCCTTTTTCCTGAACCGTCGCCATTCGATCGGATAATGGCTGCCCGAGGGACAGACGTAGTTGGAAATCAGGTAGTCGTGGGCGATGACGTGGCGCTGCTGGGCATGGTCCCACAACCAGCCGACATCCTCGATGAGCTTGCCGCTGTGATCGACCAGGGTATTATCAATGGCAATGACGCCGTGAGGGCTGTAGCGGGTCTTCGGGTTGTCCTGCAACCAGGCCAGACGGCGGTCGTTGAGCACCGCCGCGTCCCAAGACGCCTCGACCAGCCAGCGATTGAGGCAGGATTGATCCGTCGTAACGGCAAATTGGCGATTGATGGCGCTGATGTTTTTACGCTCTGCCACCATCAAACCGGTGAGATACTCAGCAAAATGCCGCCGGGCGGGTTCGTTGTCAAAGACATCGCCGAAAAGGGCCAATGCTTGTTTCACAAGGGTTGGGAAGTCCACAGTCGTCGGCATAAGAGAGCCTCCTGCGGAAGTCTTGGAAGGTAGGAAGAATGGGACGCGTACTCTACGATAGTCAGGCCAGATCACTGTACACGACAAAATCATGCGGGGTAACGTGGCTGAAGGAGCGCTTTGGGCAATGAGAGCGCTTTCCACAGCAGGCTCAGGACCTGCTCAAACTGCTCTCCCTTGTCTGCCGCATTGAGGACGGCTTGGCGAATGCTGTCAAATCCATAGCGAAACAGGCTCTTCGCAGGTCTCTGATGCGTCTTGAGCGCAATCGGTTTGACCTCGTGCCGCCAAGCACCTACATGATAGGCCCAGCAAAACGCTATCGCCAACACACCACATAACGTCTCCAAGCGCTTGGCCTCTCTCAGACGCGTCTCTTCGAAGTTGAAGCCTCTGGATTTCAGAGCCTCGAAGAGCACTTCTATCTGCCACCTGCGCTTATACACCTCCAGGGCTTGATGACCCGGACGATTCGACACCACGATCAGGTAAGCCCCGGAGGGCAAGTGCATACCAGTCACCCAAAGCCAGTGGCCACACACGAGACGTGGGCCGATCAAGGAACACGAGGTCGAACGGGGAAGGCTTCTGAAGAAGTTGCGTGCCGGTGACAAGGCTCCGGTGGTCCGCGAGACCTTCATGTCGTGCCGGATTCGGATGCAGAAGGGGATGTGGTTGGCTCGCAGCCAGGCGAACCAGTCGGCGCCGATAAATTCGCGGTCCGCCACCAGGCAGTCGATCTTGTCGCTGCCAACCACCTTCAGGAATTGACCGAGCAACTCGATGCGCTCCTGGGTATTGGAGTTGCCCCTTTTGGCCAGGAATTGCCAGAAAAGAGGAAAGGCGATGCCGCCATGGACGGCGGACAGGACGAGGAAGTTGATCGGTATCTTTCCAAGCATCCACTGGGTTCGGTCCAGGGCTAAGGTGTAGGGGGCATCGGGTAGAAAAGCGAGCACGAAGGTGGCTATGCGAGCGGGTTGGAGTTGAACGTGTTTGAAGAAGCGTTGCAGGCGTCGATAGTGCGAGTCGATGTCGGCAGGACCCGGGAAGGCGGTGGCGAGTTGGGCCAGATTGACGGTTTTGACCTTGAACAAAGCGATGACGAGGGCGGCCAGACAGGTGACGCGAGCCCGGTGCAGGCCAGAGGTCGATTGGAGCAGATTGGCGAGTCTGGTAGAGTGATTCACGGTGTAACCTCCTAGGAGACAGTCGTTGCGGATAGGCTTGATAGACCTTCCACCCTATGAGGTTACACCTTGTCTTTCAACTACTTAATGACTTTTGTCGTGTACAGTGAGGCCAGATTGCAAAACCTCAGTAATAATACTCGTCTCCCACTTGGTTTAGAATCACTCAAACACGTTAACCAAAAGGCCGGAGGAGTTGAACATGGCTCAGATGGGCTTTTTCGATGTCGAGAAGCGTTACGCCGCTCTGGATGCCAAGAATGACCCCTTGGTGAAGATCAATGCCGTCGTTCCATGGGAAGCGTTCCGCAGCCGCCTGGAGAAAGTCTGGCGCAAGCCAGCCGACAAGCGTAAGTCCAATGCGGGGTGCAAACCCTGGGACGCCATCGTCATGTTCAAAGCCATCGTTCTGTGCGCCCTCTACAATCTGTCGGACGATCAGGTGGATATCCAGATGCGCGACCGCCTGTCCTTTGTGCGTTTCCTGGGTCTGGCCCTTGAAGACAAAGTGCCCGACGCCAAGACCGTGTGGCTGTACCGGGAAGAGTTGTCACAGGCTGGTGTGATCGACGCCTTGTTCAATGACTTTGACGGCTATCTGAAAACCCAAGGCTACCGGGCGATGGGCGGCCAGATCATTGATGCGTCGATTGTTGCGGTTCCCAAACAGCGCAACAGCCGTGCTGACAACGCCCGGATCAAGCAAGGCGAGACGCCCAGGGAGTGGGCGGACGAGGCGGCCCGGCGCCGTCAGAAAGACACGGATGCGCGGTGGACGAAAAAGCACGGCAAGAGTCACTATGGTTACAAGAACCACCTCAACATCGACCGCAGGCACAAGCTGATCCGTCGTTACAGCGTGACGGCCGCGTCGGTTCACGACAGCCAAGCGGTTGATGACCTGCTGACAACGGACAACACGGCAAGCGGTGTGTGGGCGGACAGCGCCTAGCGGTCGAAAGACATTGAGGAGAAGATCAAGGGAAAGGGTTTGACGAGTCGGATCCATCGCAAGGCTTGTCGTAACCGTCCATTGCGTGATTGGGAGAAGGCCGGCAACAGAAGTCGTTCACGGTTTCGGGTCCGGGTAGAGCATGTCTTCGGGGCACAGCACAACGACATGGGCGGGACGTTGGTTCGCAGCATCGGGCTTGTACGGGCGACGGCGCGCATCGGGCTCAAGAATCTCGCCTACAACATGCGACGCCTGGTTGGGTTGCAGCGTCTTGGGACGGTGGGTTGAGCGTAAGCGGTGCGAGGGGTGTACCGGATGTCCTCTTTGACAGGCAAATCCCCGTTGCCGGGAGACGAAATGCCCCGGAAAGCCGAGTTTATTTTCCCACCGAAACGGTGCGAATGGCCAATCCTGTCATCTTTGACCATCCGTGAGGCATTTTTCGAGGTGCCCTACAGTCTGTCCTGCAAATTGGTATGGAACGCATAAGGAACATTCTTTGCGAGAAATGAACATGATCAGGGATCCAATACAGACGCGTCGAGCCTTGCTGACATGGCAGCGTCCCCTGGAACAAGAGAAGTCGGAACAGGACGACTCGCGCCGGAGATTTGCGGTGGCTGAGCTTGTCGAGTGCGGTGAAGGATTGGGATTCTCGTATAAGAACGACCGTGAATTTGCTTTAGCCTCGGAGGCCGGGTTTGAGGGCTACCCAGGCTTGGCCCTGAGCGGCAAGCACGAATCCAGCACAGCAACCGACGTACTGAAGCGTCGCTTGCCGCCGCAGAATCGGCCTGATTTCAAGGAATTCATGGAAAGGTTCGGCCTGTCGCCAGAAGCCCGTTTCTCTATACTGAGTCTCTTGGCCTATACCGGCGCTCGCCTAAGTAGCGGCAGCTTCGGTATCTCCGAGACTTTCGATGGATTTGATCACGCCTTCCGCTACGTCTTCGATATCGCGGGATACCGGCATTATCGCGAAGATGTACTTGATCTTGCCGAAAACGAACCTGTGTTCTTTCGGCACGAGCCAACCAACCCAGAAGACGCAGATGCGGTGGAGGTCGCCCGCCAAGACGGCGCGCGTGTCGGCTACGTCAACCGCACGCAGACCGGTCCCGTGCTCCATTGGCTCAAGCATGGAACCATAGACGCACGCGTCTTCAGGCTTAACGGCCGTTCCGTCTATCCGCGCCTGTTCGTCATGGCTGACATCGAGCCAGATTGTTGGTAAACCGCTGTTCAACGGCCCAGCAAGAAGGCACGCTACGCCGCGGCTTCCACGAACAACAGCGGCTCTCCCGCGTTGATGACACCCCCCTCGTCCACGACGACACGGCGCACGACGCCTTCCACGTTGGCGTGGACCTCGTGCTCCATCTTCATGGATTCCACCACGACCAGAAGTTGTCCGGTCCGTACGGTGGCGCCCTCGCGCACCTCGACGCTGACGATGGTGCCTTGCAAGGGCGACGCGACGGGGACAGTGCCGTGGGGCTTGTCAATCCGGCGCGGCGACTGTGCGGCGGGTTTCGGTTCAGGGGGCTCTACTGGCGGGGGAGAAGGCTGCTCGCGCGCGGCGACGGGTTCGGTCGGCGTGCTTGACGACGCGGGAGCAACCGAGGCACGGTCGTCCGGCACGACGAGTTCGGCCAAGTGGTCGTCAAGGAACCGGGTATGAAAGGCGGCATTCCGAAACGCCGGGTGCTGCACCAACCGTTGCAGAAACGGGATGTTCACCGCCACCCCGGCGACGTAAAACTCCGCCAAGGCGCGTTGCAGGCGGCTGACGGCGTATTCGAAGCGGCCCGAGGGGTGGCAGGCGATGAGCTTGGCCAGCAGTGCGTCGAAGCGCCCGCTGGGCGTGTAACCGGCGTATCCGAACGTATCGACCCGAATACCCGGCCCGCAGGCGGGAACAAAGGCGCTCAGGGTGCCGCTGGACGGCCGCGCGGCGCCGTCCGCCTGCATCGTCTCCATGTTGATGCGCGCCTGGATGGCGACGCCGCGCGGCGCCGGCACGTCGGCCTGCAGCAGACCCAGGGCGGCGAGGCTGCGGCCGCCCGCCAGCTCAAGTTGGATGGCCACCAGATCGACCCCGTACACCTCCTCGGTCACCGTGTGTTCCACTTGCAAGCGCGGATTCGCCTCGATGAAGGCGAACGGCGACCCGGCGCTCAGTGTACTGGCGTCGACCAGAAACTCGAAGGTGCCGATGTTGTCATAGCGCACCGACGACGCCAGGGTGGTGGCCGCGGTGGCGAGGCGCTGGCGCAGGCCGTCGGGCAAGCCGGGCGCCGGGGCGATTTCGACGAGTTTTTGGTGGCGGCGCTGGATGCTGCAATCGCGCTCGCCCAGGTGGCTGACCGCTCCCGAGCCGTCGCCGACGATCTGCACCTCGACGTGCCGGGCGCGCGGTAAGAACTGCTCGACGTACACATCGCCATTGCCGAACGCCGCCCGCGCCTCGGATTGGCAGCGCGCGTAGGCGTCTTTCAACTCCTCGCGGCGCTGCACCACGCGCATGCCGCGCCCGCCGCCACCGCCGATGGCCTTGATGAGCATGGCGCCGGTGGCTGGCAGGGCGTTGAAGAAGTCGGCGGCCTCGGAAAGGCTGGTGGGTGCGGAGATGCCCGGGCAGGATGGGCACGCCGAGCCGCTCGGCCAGGGCGCGGGCTTCGGCTTTGTCGCTGAACAGCGCCAGCACTTCGGGGCGCGGCCCGACAAAGGTGAGATTGGCGTCGGCGCAGCGGCGGGCGAAGTCGGCGTTCTCGCTCAGAAAGCCGTAGCCGGGATGGATGGCGTCGCAGCCGGTATCCTTGGCCGCCCGCAGGATGGCGTCGATGTCCAGATAGGCGGCGGCTCCGGCCTTGGCCAGGGCGCATGACTCGTCCGCCGAGCGCCGGTGCAGCGATTCGGCGTCGTCCTGCGAAAACACCGCCACCGTGCGCATGCCGAGTTCCGCGGCGGCGCGTAGGATGCGGACGGCGATCTCCCCGCGGTTGGCAATCAGCAATTTGGCGGGCATCGTGGGCTTCGGGAGTTAGGGGTTAGCGGAGCGCTTCAAGCGGCTTGTTCCATATGCTCGGCGTATTTGCCGTAACGCGCCGCGCCGTTGCATCGGGCGCGCTGCTGGAAGAACTTCTGGGCGGTGGGCACGTTGGCCGCCTGCCCCTGCCAAGCCTCCAGAACCGGCCCTTGCAGCGCCCGTCCGTATGAGAAGCTGAGCTCCCAGGGATGCCCGCCGCGCGCGTTTTCATGGCGTTGAGGTGCTCGGTGGCCTGTACGGCGCTCTGGCCGCCGGAGAGGAACACGATGCCCGGCACCGCTGCCGGGATGGTCCGGCGGAAGCAATCCAGGGTCGCCGTCGCCACTTCCTCCACGCCGGCTTGCTGCGGGCAGTCCTTGCCTGATAGCACCATGTTGGGCTTCAACAGGATGCCCTCCAACCCGACTCGGTGCTCGTGCAACTCGTTGAATACACGGTGCAGGGTCGCCAGGGTAGCCTCGGCGCAGCGCTCGATGGTGTGATCGCCGTCCATCAGCACCTCGGGTTCGACGATCGGCACCAACCCAGCCTGCTGCGACAGCGCCGCGTAGCGCGCCAGGGCATGCGCGTTGACCGCGATGCCGTACGCCGTCGGGTAGCCGGGGCCAATCGTAATCACCGCCCGCCACTTGGCGAACCGCGCGCCGATTTCACGGTACTCGTCCAGCCGTTTGGCGAGGCCGTCGAGGCCGTCGGTGATCTTCTCACCCGGAAATCCCGCCAGATCCGAGGTGCCGGTATCCACCTTGATGCCCGGCATGATGCCGCGCCCGGCCAGCAACGCCGGAAAGGGGGTGCCGTCGCTGCTTTCCTGCCGAATCGTCTCGTCGTACAGGATGACGCCGCTGATGTACGCCTCCACCTCCGGCGTGGTGAACAGCAGCTCGCGATAGGCACGACGGTTGTCCGCCGTCGAGGCGACGTTGATGGTGTCGAGTCGCCGCGTGATCGTTCCGGTGCTCTCGTCGGCGGCCAGAATGCCTTTGCCCTCGGCGACCAGGGCGCGGGCCACGGCGGCGAGATCGTGTGTGCTCATGGGGGGGCTCCTTCCTCGGTTCGTAGCGCGTTCAACGGTCTGTCTCAGCAGCGCGCCAAGTGTGTTTCAACGGGGGGTCGGCATTGTGCGCATTTTGCCCCGCAAAGGCAAGGTGCGGCGCCGTCCGCAGGGCGCCGTCATTGGGCAGGCGGGCGGGTTTCTGCTAGACTTAATGCTTCCGAAGCGACCGCAACGGCAAAAAATTGATACAAGGAGTCGTCATGAATCGCAAGGGCATGACGCTTTCTCAACATCTGACGGAATCCCGCTTGTGCGGGGACGGTGACATGGCCGGCCTGCTCACCACTCTGGCCTCGGCGGCGAAACGCATTTCCCGCGAGGTCAACCGCGCCGGGCTGGTCGACATTCTCGGTTTCACCGGCGAGCACAACGTGCAGGGCGAGGCGGTGTGTAAGCTCGACGTGCTGGCGCACGACATGATGATCGACGCCCTGAGGCCCAGCGGCCACGTCTGCGCCTTGGCCTCCGAGGAGGCCGAGCATCCCCTGTTCCTGGCGCCGCACGAACCACGCGGGCCGTACGTCGTGCTTTTCGACCCCCTGGACGGCTCCTCCAACATCGACGCGGGAATCACCATCGGCACCATCTTCTCCATCTACCGCGCCCAGAGCGCTGATGCCACTCTGTCCGACCTGCTGCAGAGCGGCAGCCGTCAAGTCGCCGCCGGCTACGCGCTGTACGGCTCCAGCACATTGTTCGTCTACACCGCCGGTGCCGGGGTGCACAGCTATACGCTCGATGCTGGTGTCGGCGAATTCCGCCTGACGCACGAAAACCTGCGCATGCCCGAGCGCGGCACGATCTACAGCGCCAACGAGGCCAACTACCCGCGCTGGTGCGCCGGCGTGCAGCGCTATATCGACGCCCTCAAAGACCCCGACGGGCCGTGCACCTACAGCGCCCGCTACGTCGGCTCGCTGGTGGCGGATTTTCACCGCACGCTGCTGTACGGCGGGCTGTTTCTGTACCCCGCGGACCCCCGCGACGCGCCCAACGGCAAGCTGCGACTGCTCTACGAAGCGGCCCCGCTGGCCCGCATCGCCGAGGCGGCGGGCGGGCGCGCCAGTACCGGCAGCGAGGACGTGCTGTCGCTGCAACCGACCGCCCTGCACCAGCGCGTGCCGCTGTTCATCGGTAGCGCCGAGGACGTCAGCGCGGTGGAAGCCTCCATCCGCCAGTGCGCCGAGCCGGAGCCGGTAGCGACAGGACGATAACCACGACGAGGAGAGACGGAACGCATGTTGACGTTCGACACCAGCTGGATCGGCAAGGAATTCCACCGCTATGCCTTCGAGGTCACGCAGCAGGAGATTGCCGAATTCGCCGCCTCGGTGGGCGAGACGAACCCGGTGCATTGCGATGCGGCTTACGCCAAGACAACGCCGTATGGCGGCATCGTGGCGCCCGCGACGTTTTGCATCGTATTTCGCAGTAATGCGGCGCTGCCCGATCTCAAGCTCAGCTACGGCGCGCGCGCCTTTGACGGCGGCAAGGAATGCGTTTTCCACGCCCCGATTCGCCCGGGCGACACCATCACCGGCGTGGACCGCATCGCCGAGGTGTACGAGAAGACCGGGCGCAGCGGCAACATGATCTTCGTCGTACGCGAGAGTGAGTTGACCAATCAAAACGGCGACAAGGTAGCCGTGCTGCGCCAGATCCTGATCCAGCGCGACTGAGCCGGGGAGGACTTTCAGAGGTGGGTGAGCGCATTCATTTTTACGAAGACATCGAAGTCGGCGACGAGATCGAGGAACTGGAAATCTGCCCGACCACGGCGGACGTGGTGCGCTACGTCGAGGTGGCGCGCATGCAGAGCGGGCGGTTCACCGACGACGCCTACGCCCGCAACGAGGGGCTGCCGGGCGCCATCATTCCGGGCAACATGAGCCTGGGCTTTCTGTCCCGCATGGTGACCGAGTTCTTCCCCACCGGCACGCTGCGCAACCTGACGACGAACTTCCGCGTCACCGTGCCCCACAACACGCCGCTGATTTGCAGCGGGGTCGTCACCGAGAAGCAGGAAGAGCAGGGCCGACACTTGGTGTTTTGCGACATCTTGATGAGCAACGAGACGGGCGACCGCTACGTGCAGGGCACAGCGCAGGTGGTGCTGCCGGCGCGCCAATCCGGCGGCGACTGTTGAGGGTGCGACGTTCCATGATGCGCATACCCTGGATTGCCTGGAGCTTCATTCCCGGCTTGAACTGGGCGGCCTGGCTGCACGCCGCCATCCTGACGCGGGTGCCGATGTACGGCGCCCTCGCCGTGGCCTACGCGGTGCCCTACGTGTTCATGCTCTGGACCCGCGCGCTGTCGTGGCGCATCCTCCTGCTCACCTGGGTACTGGGCATCCTGCATACGCAACTGCTGAAGGGCGAAATCAACCGGCGTCTGGCGGCTTTGTCGGGCGCTTCCAACAGTGAGGCCGATCATGCGCATTAGGATCACGGTCGGAGAGGTGGCCCTGGAGGCCGAACTCAACGACACGGCAACCGCAGCGAAAATCGGCGAGGCGCTGCCGATTCGCACGTCGTTCAACACCTGGGGCGATGAAATCTACTTTTCCATCCCCGGTCGATTCGGAGTTGGACGACAGTGCTCAGGAGGTGGTGGAGATCGGCGACCTGGGCTACTGGCCGCCGGGGAGCGCGTTCTGCATCTTTTTCGGGCAGACGCCGGTCAGCGAGCCCGGCAGGATCATGCCCGCCAGCGCCGTCAACGTCGTCGGTAAGATGGTGGGCGACGCCACGCTGTTCAAGCAGGCCATGCGGGCGCGCGAGGTCGTGCTGGAAGCGTTGTAAGCCAAGCGCCGCTGCTGAGAAAGAACCCCCCATGCTGGCCCGCCTGCTGCCCCGACATGCCAACACCCCGATAGCCGATGAACTGATCCGCATGGGACACCCGGCGCCTAGGAACGTACCCGCCCCATCCGCCAGGCATGTCGCCTGCAAACTAATCGACGTTCCCCGAGACATCGCCGTCGCTCTGGGTGCTTGGCTGCGTCAAGTGCCAAGCGGTTGGTGCGTCGACGCGCCGCGCGGCGACGGTGACGCGGTAGACATCCTGTGGGGCGGCGCGGAGGAATTGCCCGGCTCGTTGCGCGAGGCCGCCAACGATCAGCCGGCGCTGCGGCCCGTGGCGGATGCGCTGGAGCGGGCGCGCTGCTTGCAAGAGGGCGGCCCGCATGCCTTGGTGCTGGGGCAGACGGCGTGGCCACTGCCGCACCGCACCCACGTGATGGGCATTTTGAACGTGACGCCGGATTCGTTCTCCGACGGCGGCCTGTATTGCGAGCCCGAACGCGCGTTGGCGCGTGCCGAGGCCATGCTGGCAGAGGGCGCCGACCTGATCGATGTCGGCGGCCAATCGTCGCGTCCGGGTTCGGAGCCGGTGCCGGCAGCGGTGGAGCAGGCGCGCGTGGTGCCGGTGGTGCGAGAGATCGTCAAACGTCACAACGCGCTGGTGTCGGTGGACACCTACCGGGCCGACGTCGCCGCAGCCGCACTGGACGCCGGCGCCGTGATGGTGAACGACATCAGCGCCCTGCGCTTCGACCCGGGCATGGCGCCGTTGCTCGCCCAACGCGGCGCGGCGGTGGTTTTGATGCACATGCAGGGAACGCCCCGGACCATGCAGCAGGCGCCGTCGTATCACCACGTCATCGACGACATCTACGGGTTCCTGCGTACGCGCCTGTACGACGCCGTGCAAGCCGGCATCGAGCGGCAGCGCATCGTGCTGGACCCCGGTTTCGGTTTTGGCAAGACGGTCGCGCACAACCTGGACCTGCTGCGCGGCCTGGACCATCTGGGCGCCTTGGGGCAGCCGCTGCTGGTCGGCACGTCGCGCAAATCGTTCCTGGGGCGCGTGCTGCAGCGTCCGGTTGACGACCGGCTTGGGGGCAGCCTCGCCAGCGTGCTGTGGGCGGCGCAGCGGGGTGCGGCTTTGGTTCGCGTACATGACGTGGGCGCCACCATGCAGGCCCTGGCGCTGCTCGATTCCTTGGACGCGCCCTGCACCGGAACATAAAGGACATTCCGCCATGCCGTCATCGCCGACCTCTTGGAAGGGCTGCCGGGTGACCGTCATGGGCCTCGGCTCGTTCGGTGGCGGGGTCGGCTTGACTCGCTATCTCGCCGAGCAGGATGCCTCGGTCACCGTGACTGATTTGAAAGACGCCACCGCCTTGCAGGACGCTCTGGAGGCGCTGCAGGACCTGCCCATCCGCTTCGTGCTGGGGGAGCACCGCGACGGCGATTTCGTCGACACCGACCGCGTATTCGTCAACCCCGCCGTGCCGCTCACCTCGCCGTTTTTGCAACTGGCACGGTTGCGCGGGGTGCCGCTGGACAGCGAGTTGAACCTTTTCGTGCGCCAGTGCGCCGGGCGCATCATCGGCATCACCGGCAGTGTCGGCAAAACCACCACCACGTCGCTGCTGGGCAACATCCTGCAAGCCCACGACGCCCGCACCCTCGTTGGCGGCAACATCGGCGGCTCGCTGCTGTCCCGCCTGCCCGACATCGAGCCCGACACCCCGGTGGTGTTGGAAATATCCAGCTTCCAACTGGAGCACCTCGACTGGCTCGGCTACAGCCCGCCCCTGGCCGTAGTGCTCAATCTGGCTCCGAATCATCTCGACCGGCACGGCACTATGGCGGCTTACCAAGCGGCCAAGGAGGTCATCCTGGCCCACCAGACGCCGGACGACGTGGCCGTCCTCAACTGGGATGACCTAACAGTTCGGGACATGGCGGCACGCGGCCGCGGTCGCCGCTTGTTCTACAGCGTCCAGGAGCCTCTGGAAGCCGGTGTCTACCGTGACGGCAGCGCCTTGGTGCTGGCCTCGGAGGGCGAGCGCCGCGTGCTTTGTCACGACTCCGACCTGCGTTTGCGCGGCCTGCACAACCTCGGCAACGCCGCCGCTGCCGCCGCTGCCGCCACCACTCTGGGCGTACCGCCAGGCACCATTGCCCGCGGCCTGCAAGCCTTCACCGGCCTGCCGCACCGGCTGGAATGGATCGCCGACAAGGCGGCGCGCCTATACAACAAAGCGACTCAAGGCCACACGCCGTTTCAACACAAGGTGCGCCTGCA